TTAATTCTTTTTATAATTTAATTTAAGAACGAATCTCGAAATGACTGGATGTTTGCCTGCGCAATTACGAGGCTTTTGTTAAATGCTAAAAACTCAAAATGAAAATGAAATATGATGTTGCAGCAAATGGCTGAAGGTCAGCAGTTCTTAATCGTATATTTTTCCAAGACACTTCGGTCTGTTGAAGAGGCAGCTTGGCAACATTTGGAGTGGAGCGATGTGGAGTGTTGCCAAGGCTCAAACGGGTTTCCAGTTCTGACTATTTAGAGTTCTATTGCCAACCAGCCGGGGTCACGGTTTCTTTTATTGCTTGTGGGTGTTTTTGGGGGTTTCTTAGCTTGATTCGGTGGCACGATATGGTAACTGCTTTTTAATATGCACTACCAATGTCAGACAAATTGTGCCAGGCAGAAATTATTTCGAGTTCCCAACGAAAATTACAAGTGTCTAGGTGTACAAATATGCCTTGCGTAAACAAAGAGGTTTATTTTCAAGAGTGATGCAACCTTTTCAATTTTTAATTACACATTTATTAAATTTAATCTGAAAACTATCTTAAACAGGGAGTCTACCGCTAATCGCGCGTGCACATTTGTTTTTGTAAATACACGTGAAATTCAGGGGTGTGTCGCTTAGACTTAGGTCAGGTTCGCAAACTATTTTTCACTTTCAATATTTGATCAGAGATGAGCTAGGCCGGAATAAATTTCCATGTTTAAAGTAAGCCAACAAATACAATTGTGGAATAATTATTGTACGTACACCTGCCAAAATTACACTTGTTAATAACCTGGCTTTACACCACGCATCACTCGTGACTGACAGGCGACTGCAAAGTGTACGACATACTAGCGAAATGGTTGTGAAGGGACCCATGGACCGGCGAAAGAGACCGCTGAAAACCGCTTTGTTTTGGCCAGTGCGAAATCCGCTGGTCAACCTCCGACTTCCGATGGAAGATGGCAGAGCGGTCCGAAGTGGAACTCGCCCGAAAAATGCCCCACCTGAGAAATGGTCGCGAAACAGCGATTCGCTTTTCGGGTGGTGGGGTTACATAAAATCATTATTAGAGATTGCTGACTGGCCGCGCGTCGCTGTTTGCGTTGTGTGTTTCATCTTTTAATTAATGCAACACATATGAGCCGCGACACATAAACACGGACACCTTATGCGACTGTGTTTACATGGTTTTATCTATGAGTAACGGTCGGCTCTGTTTTGGGTGAGAAAAGCCCCGGCTTATTAACTGGGCCACAAAGAAAGTAATTGCGGCGACCTTCGTGGGATGGAAGAAGGGCAGTAGCAAATCGAAAATGTAATTACAGTGACGATTACAAATCGTACGCATAAAGTTGTAGAAGAAATATAAATTAAATAATATAGGAAGAAGTAACATAATAATTGAAAGCTACATTGCTTTCTATACGAATCAAAATAAACAACATAACTGGTGACGTCAATCGTTCTCCCCCACCATGTTCGATCAAACCGTCTAAACTGGTTTTGGCCAACTCCTATTATCTTTGCAGAGCTCTTTAACCGCGTCATCGGCATGCAAAAGCTGTGGGGCACGCGCATTGGAATCAACCGAGTCTGGCAGGGAACCGCTCCCCGAGTGCTCCTCTTCGAGCCCGAGACTGTGGAGGTGAGTTTATCTTAGGAGGCAGCCCCCCACAAGAACCAACCCCTTTCGAAACTCTCCTTGCAGCCCATACTGAACAGCCAGAAGTTTGTGAACAAGAGCCACGACTACGACTACCTGCATCCCTGGTTGGGCGAGGGTCTGCTAACCAGCACCGACCGCAAGTGGCACTCCCGCAGGAAGGTGAGTTGCACAATAACTGAGAAGGGAAATGACTTAATTCTGGTTATCATTTTGAATGCCAGATCCTGACGCCCGCCTTCCACTTCAAAATCCTGGACGACTTCATCGACGTCTTCAACGAGCAGAGCGCAGTCTTGGCCAGAAAATTGGCCGTCGAGGTGGGCAGCGAGGCGTTCAACCTATTTCCCTACGTCACGCTCTGCACCTTGGACATTGTTTGCGGTGAGTGTCAATGCCTCCCGAGATCGGCTCCGTTGTCCAGATCGGGTGACATTATTCGTGGCTAATTGCGTACGTCACTCTGTTCACAGAAACCGCCATGGGTCGCAGAATTTATGCCCAGAGCAACAGCGAGTCGGAGTACGTGAAGGCGGTCTACGGGTAAGATTGCACCTACTTATTATAGATTAAACTGAGATGCGAAGTTTGCATGTTGAAGATTTATAAATTCAAGAAAAATGGATCGACTCTTACTTTCCGCCACACACAAAATTGAAAGCGGAGAAGTATTGGGTCATTCAATTTCTAATCGCTTATGAGCATTTAAGCAGTTCAATTTTCATCTATTCGGGCACTAAGTGAAAGAGATTTATTGATATGGTTTCAATTACAGTTATAAGTGCCACAAACAATACATATTGAATCGAAATTGGCCAAAATTGTTATTAGCTATTCAAAGTCATTTCCTCTTCTCTTTGTATACAAATAGATTCAATTATAGTTTGATCAAAATTGTGTTGCCAATTCCAATTCGTGCCACGCAAATGATTAAAAACGTTTTTCTAATATTTATTAAACTATTGGTAATCTAGACCAAAGTTTTTCTTTTCTTATTAGCTTGGTACTAATTTATAAAAAACCATTTATGTGTGACTTGGTATAAGTATTATTACAATAGCTAATATAAAGCCTTTGTATCTTGGAGATCAAGCAATCTTAATCGTAAGCTTAGCAAACGTATAGTTGTTGTTGGTTATTCTCGAAAGCCCAAAAATATGTTACCTTTTGTGAGTTAGTTGATTCGGCAAAAGAGTTTTTTCCCAGCATACTTTGAGGAAGTGGTGTAGTTGGTCGACAACCAATAAGTTTTTCTTGCTTTCAATTATGGCTAAAACACTGGCTCGTTTCCGACTGTCTGCACTAATAAAATATATCATAATTCCCGGCGACCACTGGGAATAATAACATCACTAGCACACGCAACTCTTTCTCATTGGCGAAGAGTTATCAGCATTGTGGCAGCAGTTTAATATCGAGAGCTGTCAGAACAGCTGTCAGGGAACGAGACACCCTTTAGATACACATGTCCTTCCACCTCCTGAGCCCATTTCCCCCCGATTACCCTCCCTACGCCCTGTGCGTGAGCCAGTGGGTGGCGGAGTGCATCCAGGCGCAAAATATGCGAGATTAAGATGTCAATGGGATGCTCGAAGTGCTCCCAAGCTGATAACAGACAGCATCGACCCACACTTCCACTCCGCCACGCCTCATAGAACACACCCAGTGAACAGTTGACTAACTTTCAATTTCGGTGCTAATAACTTCATAGATACACAATAAGTTGGACCAAGCGATGAACGTAAATATTACATATTTACGTAGATATTGAGGCAGTGTAAAAACAAATGTGGTTCTACTATTCCTATTTATAAATACTACAATAAAATTTTAAAATTCAGATACTAGATAAAAATGACGAGTTAGTGAAGCGTACTATAACTATTACTTTATTATCCGCAGCATCGGTTCGATTGTGCAGAGTCGCCAGGCGAAAATCTGGCTGCAGAGCGATCTCATTTTCCGCCTGACTGCGGACTACAAGCTCCACCAGAGCTACATAAACACCCTGCATGGCTTCTCCAACATGGTGATCCGGGAGCGCAAGGCCGAGCTGGCCGCTCTCCAGGAGAACAACAACAACAACAACAACAGTGCCCCAGACGCCTACGATGACCTGGGCAAGAAGAAGCGCCTGGCCTTCCTGGACCTGCTGATCGATGCCTCCAAGGAGGGAACTGTTTTGTCAAATGTAGGCTTTGTGCCACTTGGGTTTTCGCTGTGAAACAAAACTAACTTCGTGCTTGCCATTTGCAGGAGGACATCCGCGAGGAGGTGGACACCTTCATGTTCGAGGGCCACGACACCACCTCCGCAGCCATTTCCTGGACCCTCTTCCTGCTGGGCTGCCATCCCGAGTACCAGGAGCAAGTGGTCGAGGAGCTCGACTCGATCTTCGGCGACGACAAGGAGACCCCGGCCACCATGAAGAACCTGCTGGACATGCGATACCTGGAGTGCTGCATCAAGGACTCGCTGCGCCTCTTTCCCAGTGTTCCCATGATGGCGAGGATGGTGGGCGAGGACGTGAACATCGGTGAGTGGTTCTCTCTTCTTTCGGAAAGTTCGTATCTGAGTTTCTTTCCAACTGTTCACTCAGGTGGAAAAATAGTGCCCGCCGGAACCCAGGCAATCATCATGACCTACGCCCTGCACCGCAACCCGCGCGTTTTCCCCAAGCCGGAGCAGTTCAACCCGGACAACTTCCTGCCGGAGAACTGCGCCGGACGCCACCCCTTCGCCTACATCCCCTTCAGTGCCGGACCGCGCAACTGCATCGGCCAGAAGTTCGCCATTCTGGAGGAGAAGGCCGTGATCTCGACCGTGCTGCGGAAGTACAAGATCGAGGCCGTCGATCGCCGGGAAGATCTCACTCTTCTGGGGGAACTTATCCTGCGGCCCAAGGACGGCCTGCGAGTCAAGATCACTCCGCGGGATTGAGGAATACGGAAGTCCCCATTCGCTTCGATCCAAAGTGCACTGTATATAGAACTAGAGTTAACCGGATACCTTAGGACTTAGAATAAGTTAATGTTAGACTTTTTTAACCGAGCTTAAAAATAAAACTCACTGATTAATTCCATATACTCTCAAAGGTGAAAAATATTAGGTTTATCTGCTGGTTTCGACAAATTGGTCGATAAGATCTAACAAATGGTTTAAAAGGTAATTCAGTTTAAAGTTGGCTCATGTTGAAATTACAATTATGGTTCATGTTGGAGAGCTTTTTAGGTATGTATTTACGTATTATTTCTAAATCATAACTCCGTTTGGTTTTATACTTCTCAACGAGAGGGTGTTTAATTTATTTAATATTTTTTGGTACCATAAGTAGATTTCAAGAAAGAGTAATGTAGACGTCTACCTCCGCTCGAAGTATACCGTAAGCCAACCATTTTGAATGGAAAAGGTATTTTCCCTCGGGAAAAGGCAAAACTTTTGTGAACTGGGTGTTGACAATGTCGGCAGTAAGCTTGTCCACAATGATATCGTGCTAAAGTAAATTATTATTTAAAAAAATAATAAGTATTAGTTTATCTCCGATATGAACTCCAAATTGCTTACATCGTATGGGCACGTGTGATTCATATTGGAATGGTCCCGGAAGATGCCATGAAAATATCCAAAAACAGGGTTTATCTTTTGACTTTTAAGAAACTTACAGGCATCGACAGTAATATTGTACAAGAATGGCTTGTACCCATTCAATCTTTTGAGCAACTGAATTTTTACCTAAAAATTAAGATCAGTAAGTGCTTTCAAGTATGTAATTTTTACCCATACCGTAACTTTTGTAACAGGAATCTTATACAGTTTCACCTTAAGAGATAGGTACTTATAAGTCCGATTCACGGATTTCAGTCGACAATACTCAAAGTCGCTAAAATTCTGATCAACGGATGTGCACTTTACGTTTGTAAACTCAACGACAGGAGTGATCTGTAATGATGGTTTGTAATTTTAAAGCTTTCGGTTTGCAACTCTGGCTTACTTTTTCCACTAAACAAAGGGCCGCAGCACACCAAATTATATAGGGGAATGTTGTCAGGGTTGGACCGTTGTCAGGCTTGGGCCATCTCAATATTTCGAATATTCGTTCTAGTACCTTCTGTTTGTGGGTGTGAAGAAACTTCTATCGGTCACTCGAAACTTTCCACGTGACTACTTATTTCGAGATTTCATTTTTCTACGTGTCGTTGTTCTTTGAAAAAAAGTGCTCGAAAAAGTTTTTTTAACCTGGCCGAAAAGGTGGAATAACACAAGATTACAACATGTCATCCGCAAAGTGAACATAAAAATACGTTATATAGTTGTTATATTACAAAATACTAAGATATAGTTTCATTGATAGATATAGGTTGGCTATATCATACCATAATAGATTAATACCGCATGTCGTCAGGGTTGGGCCACTTGTGTAGTCAGGCTTGGCCCATCATAATTTTTACATTTTATTCGTGTATTTTCGATTTTTGTTGTAATATTTAAGTTTTTTGTAGCAAAAATATGCAAAATAAATTAAATAGATATCCTTAAAAAAATATTTCGATGGATTGAAAGAAGATGAATCATTTTTATCTTTTTCTTTAGTGTTTCTCGCTACAAACGAAAAAACAACTCTGAATAATTTGATATTGAATGTAAAATCCCAAATAATTAAATAAATGAACAAAATAATGTCAGATTTACCTAAATTCAATTTTATTCCACCACGTTACGATATTGTCAACGATTTTCTGAAGGTGGCCCAACCCTGACTACATGGCCCAACGCTGACTACATTTTTTTTTTTTTTTCAAACGCCTATAACTTTTTTTGTTTTTGTTTTTTTATTCTCTATTTTTGGTGAACACTTTCTCTTGCTTGTACCTTTCCAAAAATGTATAAACTTATTCTGAATTGTCATTCGTTCAGAACTTATGGACATAGGTCAAAATATGGCCCAACCCTGACAACATTCCCCTACTTCAACGACATTGTAGAAACTTTATTTTATTTGGAATATTTAAGTATTGAATTCGCCGTGTAGACTTAAGTTTGCAGTAGGAGAGGCTAACTTTATTTTAAACTTGTTTCAATCGCATTTCTTTTGCAACTGCCAATAGTTCGTGATACATCCATTAATATTAGCTTTTCAAATAAGCACATAAAATTATCTTTACATTACCAATGATTATTAAGCAATTACGCACATGAATTCATTTTAGGTAAGCAACATTCAGTTTTGGAATAGGCTTTATAAGCAATTAAGTTCAGCGAATGGCAATACATTTTTAAAACTCAGTTTGTCATTAAAACATAATAATTCGATTTGGGAGATAATGTGGTGTTTAAGTAAAATGAATTTGCGTTTTTAAAATGAAATTTTTTAATCGAAATTGTGGACTTACTTTCAAATAAAATATTTTTAACTTGTAATATATATTTTTTATTTATATTAATGTTTAATGTTTCAACGATTGGACAGCCAGGGAATATCAACAAATGGCGCCATTTATCTGTGCCCATTTTCCTACATCCATTTGTGACCATTTATGTGAGTGCCTGTGCTCTTTTTCCTAGTTTCCAACATTTTTGTATCACTTTTTGCAAAACGGAGCGGCGCCAGAGCTTAGAGGTAACTTAAGTGGGCTAACAGTTTGTAATGCACAAATAAATGCGTCGGACAAACAAATGGGTGGTGCGGTGGTCGCCATTGGTAGTATACTCGTATGTATATCTAAATGGATATAACGCGCATATTTCCCGGTTCGCCGTTAGATAACTCGAATCGGAGCAGATAGCTGGCTAGATAGATATACAGATAGCTAGATCGATAACCGGCGGTGATAAGAACTAAGAACTCGGAGAGTGGCGACGGGGCCAATGACGACTCCTCCGCGGAAACGGGCAAACAATCAATTAGAATGGCAAAATCTTCACAAATGCAATAAAAATCCGCGGAGCGCAAAGGGCTTAAAAAGTAATTCCCGAGCTGGAAAGTTGTGGCCAAGAAAGGGTGATCACCGCCAGGCGAAAACGAGCGGAGAAGTGGCCCTGAAATCATGACGATTCCTATCAACGTCTGCTGGAAACTCACCCACTTACGAGTCGTGGCAATAAATCGATTGCCACTGCAACTGCACTTTATATATGGGTTTATGCATTTACAATACCGGCGATTATTGTTTGCTTTAGTTTACGGCCGGACTTTAAAACCAATCGATCACAGCTGGTCGAGTTATGTGTGTCATGTGAACGGAAGTTTCTGCAGCAACTTTCCCGACAACTTTTTGGCGTATCCTTACAAAGCATATGCTTTGCCATTCGGGCCCTCGAGTAATTATGCGTACTCCCCGTGTTCCCCGACTCTCCGGATGTCACTTAACCGGATTGCGCCTGCGACATCAAAACAAATTGCACTCCCTCGTGGATAGCACACAAATCTGATTAGAAAAACATTTACAAACGCAAATCGCAAGTTAGCAACGACGTTATCCCGAAGGGGAAAGGGGGATGGGGAAGGGGGAAGGGGGAAGGGAAAACCCACCCTGACATAATTTGATGTGTGAACTTTGGCCGACGCAGAACGCTCCGGGATGGGTCTAATTTGATTGACGTCAACGCGCCCGGAAATTGTGGGAAAAAGGGAAAACCAATGCACTGACAAAAATGCAAATTACCCTTTGGCTTACCTCTGAATTGATGTTCTAAAATAAAATCATAAACTTGAAAGGAACCGTTTCTTAAAATATTTAAAGAATAAGGTGTAGATTTAGCATGGTTGGATTTGTTTTTGAGGACTAGTATATCTTTCTTTGAGTGTGGGTTAAGATAGAGTTTCCCAACGAACCACAAGTGGCAGAGGACTCTATCCGCTCTGCTGGCAGGTAGTATCCGGGCCGAGTCCTGTTCCTGTTCCTTCTGCGAGTCCGTGTCCTGGCCAATGGAAATGATATCCAAACAAACTCAATTTGGTTTGCTGCCAGGGCCTTTGATAGATTAGCAGACAAAGCGAAAGAGGCGCGACTGCAGCGACACGTGACCACCAGTTTGGGCGGAGGTGGGTGCTCGTGGGATGGGTGGAGGCTGGTGGTGCAAGGACACCGGCAGCCCGAATCCGAGTTCCGTTCGGGAGGGCATACAAAATTGATTTGGTTGTAGCACAAGCAAAATATTTGCCAAGGGCTGGCAGCCATTAAACAGCTGCTGCTGTTGCTGAAATTCGGAAACCCCGGCTCCCTATTTTCCTCCAAGGACACGTGCCGAGTGGTGATGGGCTGTGCACTTGCCAACGCCGCTGTCACGTGCCACAGGCGGCAAATTAAACAAGGCGCAACATGGGAAGCAAAAGTTTAACAATGCAGAAAATTGAAAAACAATCAAAAACCCGGCCGCAGAAAGAGAGGAGGCCAGTGAAAGTTAAGTGCTGGCATGCATCCGAGAATACAGGACACCGGGTTTGGGTTTCCCGGATAGAGGAAGCAGGATCCGGGATACAGTCTCCTGTTTGCTCGGAGCGCGCGTTTCGTTTCGTCTCACTTTATTTGGCCATAATTAGCTTAATGCGCGCAACAAACAAACCGGAAAAGTCCGGGGTGTTTGGAGAGCGGAAGCGGAAGGGGAAGTGTCCGTGTTGCCGTCCAAGGAGAACCGGCATGCATGTCCTTGCCTGGCATTTGGCCAGGCCAACGGCAATGGCAAAGCAAACAAATGTCCCAGCAACGTGAACCGAAAGCAGTCCACAGAGTGCCAAAAAAAGTGAGTATATTTAAGTTGACAGGTCGGATGTCGTAATACTCTATTAAGCTCGAAAAGGTTAGATATTTTTTTAAAATTCCTTAATAAGTTGTTAAGGTAGGCAGTATAAATTCCGCTATAAATTCTTTTTTTTGACATTAGGAATAGTAATTAATATATTTTACTTAGTTTACTTTTGCATACTGGAGTTACAAATTATAATGTTTTATCTTCAAATTCCAGAAGAGTACTCTTTACCCATTGAATTTCTTTTGTTTCTGTGGATCTCGTTCCAAGTCAATCGCTAAGTTGATACGCTTCGAGGGAGAAAAATTGTCGGAAAAACGGAAACAAGGCAAACAGAATGCACGGAAAAAATTAAAATCATTAATCCCCTTAAAAGGTTCTTAATCTGCGGCTGCTGCTGCTGAATTTTGTTGCTTCATTTGCCGTCGCCGTTGAGTTCGCCAGCCATTCAGTTCGTCACTGCTGCATTACTCATTCGCAGCGTTGCCAAGTTGGGTTCCCCGGGTGGTGGCCCATTCTTCCCAATAGTTTCTTCTGGTTTTTTTTTTGCTATAAATATTCCTTCGCTGTCAATGAAGTGTCCGTTGGCTGTCAACGCCCGGCGACACCGTCATATGACTCTGAGTCAGCCGGCAATCAGCTGCCAAAATGATTAGTCCTCCGGTTAGGTGAGATTATGTTCGATCTTCGGCGAACCAATGACCCTGGCCAGTGGGAGCCACATGCAACAGTTGTTGATTGCAACCGCGAGTCGTCGGCCACCGCGATCGTAAATTGAGCAAACATTTGGGGCTGTGCTGCTCTTCTGTTGATTGCGTGCAATTGCATTGCAAGTTTTATGGCGCTCTCCAGGGCCCACTATACTCGAATACGTATATACAGATATTCGCATGTAGTCGGACCATTTCGAGTACGAGACGAGGGCAAACAGTTCGCTTTATGACTGGCAAACCTCCGCCGAGTGGCAATGCAAAAACTGGCGCAATCAGCAAAATGTAAATAATTTCACCGCGACCCGAAACAGCACAGAAAACAGCAGGCAACAGAGCGTCTGAAAGGTGGCAAAACAAAAGGCAAACCTGACGCAAATAAAATAATAAATTTTATACAAAATTGACAAGCCGGCTTAGCCCCAGTCCCAGTAACTGATAGCCGGCCACTTTCGATGGATCGGGTTTCGGGAACCTGGGAGGCAAGGCGATAGGCAATTCACGGACAGCACTGCAACGGTCAATAAAGACCAAACAATTAACAATAAACAGTGCACAGTTCAGAGCCAAAACAGTAGCCGATTGGCTTACTTGGGAGCAGTAAAAGCAAAGCGTTTAATTGCGTAATTAAGGACAGTCGAATGCTGCCTTCCGAATTTGCCGATCAGCTGGAAACGGGTTGTTGCATTAACATAATTTGATCTTCTATTAATATTTTAATTATAATAAATGATCCACAAAATTAGATTTCCTCTCCGGTGCGAAATATTTGATAGAACATACTTTCCACCCGATTCTCATGAAATCTAATTAATTTCCCCACCCGAAATTATGACAAGGGAGGTAAGGCGATGCGGTTTGGGTTTCACCCCAGCCAGTTGGCGAAATCAGAATGAAAACAAAAGGAAAACTTATGTTCCGCTTCAACCTACAATTGCACCTCCCACCCACCACGCAGTCAAAGAAAAACAGAGCTCTAAAAAAAGAAAACAAAAATAAAACAACAGGGAATTTAAATTGAAATTATTTATTTTTGCATTTTGAAAGCGTTTGCGCGTGTCAAGGATTTCTCACGCGCACCAGTCAGCCAACAAAACGATGACAAACCCCTGCCACAGAGTACGAGTACAATTTTGTCATCCGGCAGCCACCCCTCGGTTTCATCTTCCCCATCCTTCGGCAGGAGCACCGCGCGCCTTTGCTTTTATAATTTGAAAATATAAAAATAACAAAGTGCTCGAGCGTATTCAAATGTCAGAGTCTCGCGGAATCCTCCACTCCTTTCTTCGCAGGGAATCGCTAAAAGTTCTATTTGGATTGGGGCCGCGGGGCTTCGCGCAAGTCCTTGTAATCAGTCACCAAATAAAACAAGGATATTATAAGCCCTATATTTTATTTTAAAAGAATACCCATTGCTTATGGACTCATTTTGTAACCCTTTTGGGTCAAGGTCTAACGGTCATTGGCGCCCTGAGAACTTCTTCGAATCTTTTTTCAGTGGGGATTATCACCTCCAATTGTGTAAACAAGATAGCCCACAATCCGACGCAACAGCTGATCCACAATGCCAACACATCGCTGCACATTGAGGTGGGTTCGAAATCGTGGGATACCAACCCCCTGCCTTCCCTGAAACCCCGCCAGGCTCAGTAGTTAACCCAAGACATCATCTTTTAATCCTTGAGCACACACCCAAAAACTCTGGACGAAGCGCTGCCGTGGGAATGCCGAGGGACCCGGCACCTGCCTGTCCAGAAATATGGAATATGCAATATGGTAAATACCTCCCGAGTGTGATGGATAAATCTGTAATCACACATTCTTACCGCCCGCTACATCAACGTCGGAACTTCGTCGGGGAAGCCGCCGTTTTGATCCGCTGGCTTACGCAGTTGAACCACCGGACTAAGGCAGTCCAATAATTTTCACGTTCCCCACGCAGCGGGGAAATGAGTCGGACATATGGCAGCGGAATAAGAATCGACGGAGGTGGAGTGCACTTCGAAAAATATTTGACAGTGTTTATTGTAAAAAATATATCAACTATGTTATTTTAAAACAGATTT